GTGTGTGTGTGTGTATATATATATATATATATATATATATATATATATATATATATATATATATATATATATATATGTATGTATGTATGTATGTATGTATGTATGTGTGTGTGTGTATATATATAGATAGATATATAGATAAATATTAAATCATATTTGCTTTCATTGGCCAAATAGCTAGTGGACAAGGAGAAAGAGTGAGAACGAAATTGACTGTTAAGTAGATGGAAATGCGGACCGCTAATTACGTCTCCCTTTCCTTTTTCTCATCTTCATTTTTGAAGATGTAAAAAGAAAAAAGAAAATAAATTCAAATCTATCATTTAGAAATTCAAATATCTATTTAAAAAGCTAGAAGACAACTTGACATCTGTTGCTTTTATTTTTCTCTTCCTATCTTGGCCCGCGAGTGCATGATCTGGTTCACCGATTGAACACAGTAGTTGGACCGCTGTGGGAAGGACGTCCTGTAGGCCAGGAGTTCGTCAGTGCATGTATCAGTAACCCAGGAGACGCCCGTAGATCTAGCGAAGGACCAGGAACTCGTTAGTGCAAGTACTAGTCGCCCCAGAATGATGCGGGAGCCTGCCGCAGCCGAGAAGTGACGCACTTTCTAAAATCTGTTTTTAACACTTTCTTTAGTTTCTTAAATCTTTCCAGAATAGGATTAACATCCACCTCTACCGAATAACTCAGTCTACTATAAAAGAGAGTTTTCTTTGAATTCGAATAATCACAGAAAACGGCCAACTACCAGCTGATGAGAGGATCAGCTGATTGAGGTTTGTCGGGGGGCGGTTCCTGAGCCGAAAGCAAAATGATTTCCGCGGAAAGTAGGCCGAGGTCTAATACTGCAAGGGAAGGACAGGTAAGATGAAAAGGACCATAGATGTGCATGCAAATACCAGGAATATTGTGAACGTTTATCAATAAAGTGTTACTCACTGTGGCATGATCAGTTGAGTGACTGGCTCAGGGGACGTATTTTGCAACATAACAAAAAATTTTGATTCTGTTATCGATGGATCCCTCTTACTCTCTACTATCCAAATATATAGAAACTATGTCCTCTCCCCAATAACGACAAGCTTGGCCCCTATAGCACGAAAGGTAACGGAGATATTGCGGGTTAAATTATGAATGATATGCACAGAAACAGTTACGTATTATCTTAACCCCCACAATGGAAGACAAGTAATCCTTCATGTATTCAAGGGAGGGTAGAGCATCCAACCGACATGCAGAAGTGCCCGATGTCAAGTCTGTCATACACTCTGTCCTGCCATGAATGCGTGGAGGATTCTTTGTTTTCTTGGGTAGTGGAATGGGCACAACCCCTTGCATTCAGGAGTATAGTGAGGTATTGTCTTCATTAAATTATTATATTATTGTTAGTTTACCCTGCAATGTCCTGCTATCAGGGTCAAGAATGTCGGGTTTAGGGAGGTTCCACAGCATAATTCTAATATATGTGTGTGCACGAGAGGTAAGAGGAATCCATCAATACCAAAAACTACCATTATTTTTAGATATTTTCAGAGCAGAGTATGGTAGTAGAATAATAAATCTTGTGAATAAAACATCTAGTTTTCCTTGCTTGTAAAATTAGGGAATATTTTCAAAGATTATATTGAATATTATATGGTGATAGTTGTCATAAAGTTGAACTGGGTTTAACTCAGTTGTCTTGACTGATATACAAAATTTGCTTTTATTTTAGTTCTTATAATAGATAATAATGACAAATGTCTTTGCATATATCCCCTCTTCTCCAGTTTTAAAAGCAATCTAGAATATGTGCCTTTATACTAAAGATTCAACTAGTATTTAATGTTTTATAATGATGTAATATCACTATGATTTTCAGGTTGACATTCGAGAAGATGAAGAACAAGGACTCAAGCTTTCAGAAATTGTTGAGCTTTTGGTTGCTGCTGGTTACTTTAGGGCTCGAATTAAGGGTCTCTCTCCCTTTGATAAAGTATGTATTTCTCTTGTGCCATATTGTATTATCTTTAATTGGGATATGAACATATATATATAAAATATCTATATTTATGAAATATGAATGTCATTCATATACCCTTTTCATAAGATAAAATGGCAAACTAGGCCTCACTCTACATGAAGCCTACCACATCCTCTCCTTCACCCACCTCTTCTCTGCTCCCAGACATCTATCCCCTCTTCTCCTCTTCATAAGAAAACCTTAGTTTCATAGACCACCCACCCAACTCCCCTCCAGAAACTCTAGTCAAAATCAAAACATCCTAAACATGTCCCAACAAAACAAGCCATTCCTTCATCTAGCCTCCAATCTCTCAATTCCTTTTACTTCTACATTCAAAATAATTACTGATGTCCATTCTCCTCTTCAAGTTCTCCCTACCCTTCCTCCTCCCTATCTCCATGTGCACCATTCCCTCTTCTTTCCCCAGTATCCTTATCGCTCCCACCTGGATGCTCACGTGACTCCCTTAAATAGCAATAGTGTCCTTCTCTGGATCCTTCCCCACCTGACATTCTTTCTGATACTTCTCTGCCTTTCCCTGTTTTCTTATGTTCCCCGAATTCTTCTCGTACGTCTCCAATCCCCATTTCTACCCTTATTACCCAGTGATTATTTCATAATGGCTTTGCAGTTTTCCTTACACAGTGTTCCTAGCCCTTCCTCAGACATATAGATGCAAATACTATCCTATAGCACTCTACAACCTTTGACATCCAATGCATTTTATTCTAATCATTAACTCATTTTTACTCTTTTCACCAAAATGCTTTATCATAGTCCTATATGACCTTTGTAGTCTGGCACATTTATTTGTTTTAATCATTAACCATTACCCAATCTCTGATTACATGAAACTGCATGTATCAATATTCTTCACAGGTAGTAGGTGGTCTAACATGGTGCATTGAAACTTGCAACTTTGATGTGGATGTTGATCTGCTATTCAGTGAGAATCTTACTATTGGTCAGAAAATGTAAGTTCAAAATTATTTAGTGTGTATATATTTACATAAACAATGACTTACAGACCTTATTTCTCATTACCCAGTGGTAGTAATGAGCCCTGTGTGAACAGTATCATATCCAGTATAATTCATTTTTACACACACGCACACGCACACGCACACGCACACACACACACACACATATGTTTTAATATAAACATGTTCTGAAGCAAAACAAAATGTGTACTGAATATATGGCCATTTCACAGAGCTCTGACGGAAAGAATTGTTAGAGTTGTGCAATCTATGAAATGCCCGCATCAGCTAGAGCCTCACCAGATTCAGGGTCTTGATGCCATACACATCTTTCCAGTCATACAGGTGAGTAGTATTGTAGAGGAAAAAAACAAATCTCAAGATGTTGTTTTTAATATTTTGTAAGAGTATTGGAATCCTTGATAAATATAATCGGGAAAAGAAGGTAATACCACAGTCACTGTGAGGAATTAAATCAGTACAAGCAGTAATTTTACCGTGAAAAAACAGAAAGTACAGTTCAGATATTCAGAAGATATTCAGTGGTCTTTTCATTCATGAAATTTAAATGTATAAGAAGATATGAATACCTTTAGTTATCCTTTTTTAGAAAATGTGCTAAATATTGTTTTGAGAACACATGAGTATACTGTGCCTCTTGAGATTATGGATGATGATTTTTTGTCTTTTTCTTTTTTCCAGTGGCTTGTAAAAAAAGCTTTGGAAACCAGAGAGGAATTTGTCGATGAAACAAGGAACTTTACAGACTTCCTGTTTCACTCTTACTATTCCACACCACAACAAGAAAAAATCAAAGAATCATGGCCAACTGTGTCCAAGACCATATCTGAAGTACAGGTTTGCTTTGTAGCCAAGTTTTGTATGGTCTCCAGTTTCCCAACTTTTGGATTCCCTGCTTTATTATGTGGTTAATACTTATAAACAGTGCTAAGATGTAAAGCTTATAGCATTTTCATTATAAATGTATATATAGATATATAAATACACATGCATGCATGCACACATGTATGTACATCCATATGTGTGTGTGTGTGTGTGTGCAACAATTATTAGAATTTTCTGGTTTTAGATATTCTTTACTTCTTTACTTCTTTTTATTCTTTTCTTCTTCATGATACTTGTTACTTAACCCAATGTCTTCGGGAAAATGCTGTGCTCATTTTAGAATTTTTTTGTGAAATGTCTCTGCATATAGATGGCTATCATTATTGATGGTGTTATTTTTATTATAGACATTATAATTACTATAATGTTATTGGCATTAGTAACAGAAGTATAAGACAAAAACACAAAATATTTTTGCAAATCAAGGAAAAGGATATACAGGTGAGACAAGCAGTTCTCATAATTGGCTCATTGGTGACTAAGTACAAGTAAAACTCATAGTGGGCATGGCATGTACGTACATGCCATGCCTGTCAGCTTTGGGCTAATAGTTTACTCTACTAGTGTTTTTTCCTAATTAAGTTTCTCAGTAAACAATAAGACATTTCCTTCATGTCTATGTTGTGAAGAGCAGGTTCATATAGTCATACTGTGACATTTTAAACAAGTTTATAAGGTTTGGGACTTCTTTCAGGGATCATATGGACCCAAGAGAAGATGGAGAAGGAAAACCTCAACACCACAGGAGTCAAAAAGCCAGCGTATCCAGACAACATTGTTAGAATATGGACAGCTGAGTTACATGGGTATAAAGGTGATGTTCCTAGATATTAAATCAAAGTAAAATAAAAAGAATTGACATTCAGTTCAGTTCACCTTTAATATATTTAGGTGACAACAATCTCTACTGTTGTAAAGAATGTATGATGATACATTTTATATTCCAGTGTAACCATCTAGTGATCTGAATGACCAGCCTTCCCAATTGTATCTACAGTGCAAGACAGTGTCCCTCAATTCCCTGCCTCATTAAGTGTACCTGTAGGTCATCAGCTAATATTATTCTCATCATATAATAGACATGTAATATTTTACTTCATTTTTGTCAACAGAAAACACCTAATCAGGATGAACCAGATGCTAATACTGAGGTAAAGTTGATAGGTCACGAATGTTTGAATAGCAAGTGTGTGTTGTTTTATTTAATATCCATTTTCTGTCATTGTTTTAAATTAAAAAAGGTCATGATCAAAACAGTGAATAGTTACCAGAGGTAAAACTGTAATATGAATATTATGTTACACTAGCTCTGAACTGTTAACATTTTATAGACATATCAAAGCATACCCAGCAAGTGAGGTCATTGCTTTGACTATCAATCTAATTTGTGTCATATGAATCATTCTAATTATCTGCAAATCATTTATATCAAGGGAAATGAAGTACTCCTATGTCTTTAATGTTTTCAAGATAGTAGGGACTGGATTTCTTTTGAAGATATTGCAACCAGTGAGTGCCTTTTTGTAAACTGGAAAGATTAATACATTTTATTAATGCTTTGAGTGTTTGTTTGAAGTGTTAAGCATAGTGTCATATTAAAAGCATGTGTTTTGTGTCTAATCCATATAACATCAGATGGCAGAAGTTGAGCAACTGATGCAGTCAATGGATGTTGCTGATGTTGCTGAGGTAAGGATTGCTTTTTCTCATTTTACTTTAACATTAAGTTTAAGTGGAAGAACAATCTCGGTGGTGAAATTTTGTTCATTGAAAAGTTAGATTCATCATAGAAGATTCATAGTAGTAGAACATATTCAGAATTTTGTTTGGAAAAAGAAGAAAGTTGAGAATTGGTATAAATAGTTAACAAGGAGATATATAGAGTAAAATTGGTTTTAAGTACATCATTTCTATAATAGAACTAGAATACAGGGATAAAATAGAACAATGGAGGTGAGATAACTTTAACAATTTTGTAAAGAAATGAGGCTTAATGCAAAACAATAAGAGTGTAATAAACTTAAAGTAATGTAAATATTAATCTGTGATAATCAAGATCTCAACATCAAAATAAGAAATTTTAGTTATTTCAAGTTTAGATTCATAATGTTGATTTTTTCTTCTCTTGACCATTACAAGAGGAAATATATTGACTGGAAATACATTTTCAGGGTAAACTAAGTGCCCAGTATGTAGGAAGCATTGTCAGCACACGTGTGAATGAGATTGCAGCCACCTCAAAGCACTACTCAGAACTCCAGCAACAGATTTCTGTAAGTTTTACTGTGTTTAATTGGCTGTAATTTTTTTTTAATTAATTCCCTTCATAGAATATCAAAAGGAAGATAGATCTGAGTCAAGTTGATAAACTTTAGCTGTTGCAATATTGTTCAATTTGTGAAATAATGATCATATATATATATATATATATATATATATATATATATATATATATATATATATATATATATATATATATATATATATATATACATACTCTTCTATAGTAAAGTAATCAGACATATGAAACATAATCACTGAAAAATAGATTTGAAATTAAGAAAATCAGACATATTGAGTGTGTTAAGACTCGCCTTGTGAATCATTTAAAAGTCACTCTGCATTCATAAATTCTTACCTGTCAAAACTGACTGACCTTGATATTCTTAACTGTATTTAGTCTTTGGATGTAAGGATTTTTCTTTTACAGGCATGTTATCAAAAGCTAAATCTAAGTCCTTGGTATTCAGATTGATACAACATTTTTTCTTTTATTTTATTTCTTTCACCAAAAAAATTGCTTAGAGATGGTAAGCACTGTGTCAGTAGAAACTGACTTATTTTTTTCTTTCTCTTTCTTTTTCTTTTTCTTTTTCTTTTTCTCTCTCTTTTTTTTTCTTTTTTATACATTGTGGGATTCTGTTCTTAGGAGGAGATCCTAGGGGACAGTGCCTCTTCCCATGCCCGCTTGGTTGCAACTTTGGAAAAACAGCGTACAGCTTTATCCAAACAACTAACAGAACAACAAAAGAAGGAAAAGACCGAACTACAGAAATTAGAGGAATTAAAGGCCAAATTGACGGATGTGAAACAGACTAGAGCAGGATTAGAACAAGAGATACAAGAACTAGGCATAGTTGACACCAAGGAAAACAACAAGTATGATTTCAATTATCCTGTGTACCCCTTATACATTTTAGATTGAGGTTGAGACAGTATCATTCATTTTGGAAAGTATCAGTAAAATCATGCTTCATAATAATAAATCTCTGTGGAATGAGAAGGCATATATCATTTGTGGCTTTAACATATCAATTGATTTAGATATATTCACAAATATGATCATTTAGGATCTACCCTGGAAAAGCTATATTTAAACAATTTCTTCCCATTTACACTTGATACAGTATTGTTTGCGCCTGATGATTTTTCCCATTTTTCCAGGCTATTGGAACAACTCTCAAAGCTGGTAGCAGAGAATGAGGCAGTAAGGAAGAAAGAGGCTGAGTATAAGGATGGCTGTCGGAAAGAGTCAGAGAAGTTGAAGAAGGAAATCAGGTAGGTTCAGTATAATTAAGGAATTATTATAATTAAGGAGTTATTATCAACGTTCTACATAGAAAGCAAAAATCATAGAAAGTCAGTAAGAGCAGGCATTTAGTAGTTTAGGTGAACTTTCAAATAGCGGATTTGCTCTTAGGTTGCAATGTCCTGGCTAAGTGACAGACTGTATTATTTAAGTTTATTGAAAAGATTATGCATTACAAGCCTTGGCAAAAAAATGTATATGCATTTTACTGATTTACTGATAGAGAAAAAATTATCCATTAATATTTCATCTCCTAAATTTAGGGAGGTGACATTGGTTCATAGTTCATTTAAAGATTGTCTGCCACAAGAGTAAAACAGTACAAAATTAAAAATTATTTTTCACTTCAAGGCTTAACTGCAGATGCCTTTGCTCTAGTAAAGTGGATAATCATAAAGTAAATACTCATATCTTGTTCAAGAAGTGCATATTGGGGATGAATAAAACACATCATTTGATAGCAATTGAATATAAGAGTGATGAAATACACAGTACTGATGTCAGATGTATTCATAAGTGAAGTTATTCATCTCAAGATTCAAAATAAACTTTTCAGTGATCTACAAACAAGATTAAGCGAAATTGATGTAGGAGATGAAATTACCGAAAGATACACAGCAGAAAAGGAGAAGTATTCCAAGATGAGACGACAGCTGGCTAAAAAGACTAGGCAGGTGGAAGCCATGAAACGTGTTATAGATGATGTTCCTGGTCGGGCAGAGCTGTCACAGTACCAGAGACGCTTCATTGAACTCTACAATCAAGGTAAATTTTTCAGTGTTGTCATATTGGTACATCTCAATATGAAATCTTTTGAGTATACCAACATTTATAGAGTATTTGCTTAAACTGAGAATTATTATTATACATATTTACTTCACATTTCAGTTGTCTGAGCATAATATTTGTCCTTTTCTTTTTTACTTCTTTACTTCGCACTGAATGTGAAGATTGTTAAATCTGCCAAAAATGAGTAAACCTTAAATGCAATTAGAAATGAAATTTTCATTTAATTCTGCTTTCCAGTTGCTGCCACTCACAGAGAGACTCAACAGTTCTACAATATGTACAACACCCTGGCGGACACAAAGACTTATATGGACAAGGAGCTTTCTCTTCTCAACTCAATATTAGATAACATGGCAATGTAAGTACTTTATATGCCCATTTCTGTAATCCCTGCTTTTCTGGATTATGTAATAGGCATAATTTTTATGAATCACTTAGTTAGGAAAGACATAAAATCTTTGATCTGAGTATATGTTATATAATGTTCAGCATTCTCTAAAATAGTTTTATGGAATGGACTAATCTTTATGTCTTCAATGCCAGTGCACTCAGTAATTCTGCCAATATGGATGAGTACCTTCAGCAACTAGATACAATAGTGGAGGGTATACATCAGAACAGACTAAAGGTGAGTATACTTTTTATGGCTTTGTGTATATATGTGCTTCTTTACTTTTATTATTTTTTAATCAGTTTGTTAAATAATAATAATTACTTTTACCACATTTCTTTGGCTTAATTGTTATCACTGTCATATGTATCTGAACTACTATAATTGATTCATAAAGTTTCTATATACAAAATATATACAAAATATATTACATCCCAGCTCCAGAAAAGGCAGGCAGAGGAGAGATCACATCGCAACAAGCTGAGTGATGAATTAGCACGTCTCCAGGAGCTCAACCGTCATTATGCAAAAACAGTACATCAGCTCGGACAAGAAATAAAGAAAAATGAAATTCTGCATCAAAAAGTTACCCAGAAAAAAGAGTAGGGGATACATAGATGAGGCTCTCCCCCTTCCATCTTACTGAAAATATATATCCCTGTTTGTAGTGCTCGTCATGCACAAGATTTTCTTTGAAGAAATTTTGTTTTGATTCATGAATTCATTCTGAATTAGATATGGGACATTATAGTATACTAAGTATACATAATTTGTATGCTTTTTTGTATACTTGTCTTACCCAGTATCATGGTATAATTTAAGAGGTGGCAGTAATGTAATGAGAGTTAAATTTTTCTATTATTTAAAAATATTGTGATTTTGCATTCCACAAATCTATATGTTGCCTTTGGTTTCATGTCTGTTATAAGGTTATAGAATGAACATTTTAATTTTTAAAGTAATAAATAGAAAAAGAATAAATCTCTATCATGGACCTGCAAGACTTCATTTCAGAAAATATGCATAGTATTATCATGAGAGAAACTCTAAAACCCAAGATTAATGTATATATGCTTACTGTGATTGTGATCTTGTAGTAATTTCATTGCTAACAAACTTGTTATGTTTTTACAACAAATCTATAGACAGTCTTCATATTCTTTCTATATGCAATTACAGATGCAGATATCAAAACAACAATAATTTGAAACTGATACATATTTAAGTGTATGTATATGTATGTACATCTTGTATTGTATGAAAGAGTATTTATGTATAAAATGATTTAATATCTCTGAAAGAAAATATTTTTCAATAAAATGTAGTATGTTTTACATCTTATAGGTACTTTTAGATGGCACATTCTGAATGGCAAAACACTCTGCCATGTTGATACTGTGGTAGAAAAACCCACAATGTAAAACTAGATTTATTGAAAGTGAGTCTACAGTTTCGAAATCCACCTGGATTCCATCCTCAGGTCTGAAGAGGAAAGGGAGAGGAGGGGGTATAAAAGAGAGAGAGGAGAGCCAAAGTGGTAACATGGAGCAGGTGAAGACAGACGAACAGAACCTGAGGATGGAATCCAGGTGGATTTTGAAACTGTAGTCTCACTTTCAATAAATCTAGTTTTACATTGTGGGTTTTTCTACCAAGGCACATTCTGTTATCGACTGTAATTTTGTGAAGCTTATGAAATGGGAATCATGCTAGAATCCAGTATAATTCCCATACACTACAGTTCTCCTCAATTTTTAGGTATCAGGAGTGTGTAAGAAAACATTAGCACTATTATAATACTGATGCTCTTAGTATATGCAACTCCTACACAGAACATAATTTTTAGAATGCGCAAAGAATTGTAATCCTTTATTGCAGGCATAGTCCAGTTCTCATTCTAATAACAAGCTTCACATGAATGAGTATTTAAAAGAAATATTTGATTTTTTAAATTGTTCATAGCAAGTAGTAATACCAGATTTGCATGATATGTTTATCATAAAAAATTACAAATCTAACTGAACCTTAAAAATTTAGCTACTGCAGTCTATGGGAACAGGAGACCCAAGTACATTATCAGTATTTAGCCCATAATGATATTCATAAATTGAATTTGTGAGTTGTTTTTTCTGTACAAATGGATTAAGGGGCAGTAAAATTGTAAAAAAATAGAAAAAAAAATCATTTTCAGACTCATGGGATAAGCACCGTACATGGTTATATGCTTTGTACATGAGTGGTTTCCATTTAAAATTACACTTCCAGTGTTCCCAAAAGTGCCACAACCTCTTCCAACCAGAATGATCCTGATAGTCTTTGTTCTTGATTAATTCAAGCCAATCTCTGAGTCTTAATATAAAATGGATCAGGTCACCTAAATACAGAACTTTTGTCAAAGAAGTTTAGGTAAAAAGATTCATAGAAAATGGGTGGGTGTGCCAATCGCTTGGCAATGTCACTGTATTCACTCAATACCTGGTTTTGCTTTAATCATTTCTCTTAATATTTCTGTCCAGCAATCATGGACCCCTATTTCACCATTTTCGTTCTTCAAGGCTTTGTATTCTTTGTTTTCTTTTTTTCCTGGTCCATCCTCTTCCAATGTACTAGTAGATCATGTCTGATCTACTAGTCCATCAAGTTATTAGCATCATTTCAAACAAGACAAGGCAGTGCCAAACCTTATGCAATCCCACCTCCACCTGGACCCCGACTGTCCTTCCTACTACACACTTACCACAGTTCCTTTATTTCATCCACCATCCACCCTCCATATAAACTAATCACCCTTTGTCCTTAACCCTTCCCTCTTCTATCAATCCCATGCTACCCCATTTACTTTACCTCTTTCTAACCCTTCCCTTACCATACTATCTTATAATACCATGAACATTGGTCTAAGACATTCTGTTCTAATAAATGACCCCTTTAACTCCCTTTCACCACAATACTTTTCCATAGTGCTATATGACCTTTAATGTCTAGTACGTTTATTTGTTGAAAGCAGTAACCATCCTGCACCATCCTTAACACCTTTTTTCTTCCAACTCCCAGAGTTGTGCTACAACTCCTTTCTAGCCAGCATGTCTTTAAACCTTTTTTTCTAAATATAAGAAAAACTGCATTTTCCTTTGGCTTCCGCTATACATCAGCAGCAGCACTACTTCCATTTCTTTTTCCCATTACTCCATGTTGTGCCTGATCAACTTTCTTTCAGCTGTTCCCTGAAAGAATCGCTACAGTAGATTATTCGTCTCTACTTCACCCTGTCTCCTGTATCTTCTGCCACATACACCATCTGCATGTCCCCTCACCATGTACATAAACCCCCCTGAACACAAAACACAGCAATGTCTGTACACAATTAAAATTTAAACAAAAGAAACAAAATAAAATGTTTTATTTTGTTTCTATTGTGGCAGTGTTTTTATTATAACCTCCCTCTTTTGGTCTTCCTCTTCTTTTCCAATATGATGGCTGAATCTTAACATGCACCTCCCAATATACTTCCATTACTCCTCTGCATTTCCATTCTTGATCCTGTCACCAGAAATAAGAATTTTAACCCATTGCCAATGGGCATGCCATGCCATGCCCACTGTGAGTTTACTTATTTGATTGTTTTTACCCATAGATGGCTACACTTGTACTAAGTCACCAATGAGCCAATTACGAGTACTGTACTGCCTATCACGCCCGTTCACCCTTTTTTTTAGTTGTCGAAAACATTATAGTAATTATAATGTTTATAATAAAAATAACACCATCGATATTCATAGCACTAGTAAAAAAATACATTTTCCCACCAATTAAAGGAAATCAGGTAAGGCAGAA